CACTTGTAGTCAACGGGCTTCACATGTGGAAGAGTAGGAGCTACAGATCCAAACGCCTTATGTTTCACAAGTGAATTGAGTTCGACTTGGATTGTTTGTTTTCAGTTTGACCAATCGGTTCTACGTCAACATTCATCAATGAAACGGGGTTCAATGTCATTGCTCAACATGATCTCAGTAGCTACTGCATATGCTAATGCATCATCGACTATCATCTCATTTCTACACCACACATCATCTAAGCTAGCGTAATAGACCGAAATCTCACGATTCTCGGGAGGTGGATTCGTCTTTTGAAGTACACTTTCGTAATCTAGAATTTCCTCATGAGTTGGATAGAATGAGTAAGCGATGGTCGGATTCACGATAGGCTCTTCAGGTGCCTATGCCATGGGTTTCTTCTTCCGGAGGTGTGAATCCTTGAACCAAGTAATCTGCCACGCTTATGTGTAGGGGCAGATGATTGGCTAGCCGCTAATGTACCTGGATCACCAAAGTTGGCGTCCTAGGCCTCCAGGAGGGAAGGCTATCGTACATTTGGTACATCCATCTTTGCAGGCATATTTGCAGCTGGAATATGTGATCTTGTCACTCACGCGAGATCGGTGAAAGCATCTAGCATGCTCTGGAGATCTAATATGCGTTGCACTTCAATTTCAAACTAAGCGGTGTAGGGAGAAGGGAGGAAGTGGTTTAACTTTACAATCATCAAAATATTTTTCCTTAACAGGTCGAAACGAGCTATGGGAGGAAGGTGGGGATGGAAGAGGAGAAGGAAGGAAGTGGTGGTCTTGGAGAAGAAAGGAGATGACCCTCGAAAAGGATTGGGAGAAAGGCGAGAGAGAGAGAGAGAGAGAGAGAGAGAGAGAGAGAGAGAGAGAGAGAGAGAGAGAGCGAATTGAATTGCAAGAGGTTTTTTAATTTTATAATGTTTAATTGATTTTTTTTAATCTAGTTAGGCAAGAGAGTGAGCTATGTGCCTGCCACTTTAGCAGTTAACAAGCAAATTGACAATTTTGTAACGGAGGTCTAACATTGCAATGAATTGGTAAGTTGATGTATGACTTTGCAATGTTTTAAAAATGAGGTATGAGATTGTGGTTCGACCCATAATTAAAGTAGTTTTATAGAACTTACCTTAATTTAAAAGTTCAGAAATGTTTCTTAATATGTGGGAGTTTTATTTTTATTTTGCTAACAATGGGAATGACAACTCAATTTTTCAAAAGGAAAACTAATGAAAATGATTTGAAAACTTTAAGTTTTAACGATAAGGACAAAATAAAGGGTAAAGTGAATAGTACCAGGATTGATTTTTCAATATAAAAATTTGGTCTTTCGTTAAAGTAAACAATACTGTGAGCTTTTCGTTAAAATTCCCTTTTCATAATGTCAACTTAATTACATATGAATATTTGCCAACATGATGTGTGTGTATATATAAATATATGAACATATTAATAAGATAACCTTGTCATGATATTGAGATATTAGTTTATAAATTCAGAAATGTTTTTTAATACGTGGAAGTTTTATTCTGCTACCAATGGGAATGACACCTCAATTTTTCATAATGTCAACTTAATTATATATATATATATATATATGGATATAAAAATGAAGGCATGTCTGGCTAGCTAGGTTATGTACCAATATTTCTGGCTATGCATGCAAATCTTTGAATAAACTGTCGGTAGAAGACAGGTTTATATGGGTGAAGAGACTAATTGTTTACGTACAAATAAAACTAGTATATATGTATATGAGCATTACGTAAGGGATTATGTGTATATATGTAAAGTACAGTTAGATAACAATTGATCTGTCATGCATAACCAAGACAGAAAATCTCCTTCAAAATTTCTGACCTGTATTAACTATTTGACTTGAATATTATCTTAGTTAATTAGGTAGTCTTTCTTTTAATTGGAAAATACTTGTTCAAGATTCAACCTTTAACTTCATCCCATCCACACCCTAGCTAGCTAAGTTAAGAAGTTCCTCAGCTGAATCTCCAAACCCAAATTAGTGACCTAATTGCTGATCATACTTTGATACAAAAGAATCGATGTAAAAGCGGTGATGATGACATGACCAAATCTGGAAATTTGAGGCGAGGAAAATTGCATATGCTATTATGCATGATATGAAACCTCAACCCGTCCCTCCTGTTTAAATACAGATAAAGAAGCACTCACTTCTCCATTTTATATATAAAGATATAGCAAATGGATTTGGAGATAATATAATTATATATACTAGTTTGATCATGTCCATCACCAAAGTACCTTTAAACACTAAGTAATCGTTCTGTTTATCTCTCCATTCATCTATTCATGTTTTGTATTGATAAATCACGCTTAAGAGAGAATGAACAAAAATGAAATGAAGAACTCCTTACAACATATCATATACTTTTACACAACTCAGAAAAATTATATAAAGTATTCGCTATGTGAATAAAAAAACTAATATTCCCTTACTTATCCACCATATTTAAAAAAAAAAAAAGCTAGATAGATATACTAAATAGTTAAACTAAACAATAGTACTATGTTATTGTTGACCCTAAAAACTACTAAGCCTACGTGGCACGTAGGCCGAGTAATCTATAAGCTAACTACGTCCTTCGGTGAATGCGGGGAGTGCCAACTCGTCGGCCGAGTTCGGCCGAGGAGTAAAATTTGTTGATGTTGCGTTGGGTCGCGCTACTGACTTCTGCGTCTTGCGATTGCGGCCGAGAAAGGAACACGTCTCGGCCTCTTGGATTCTCAAGCCTGAAGACAAGGCTACTATTCTTACGAAGTTCACAAATTGAATTCGGCTTTCAATGTGCCGAATGTAATAACTTGTAACACCTCACTTCGCCGAGAAGGCTAATGAGATGACCTCGACCAATAAGGATTCGGAAATCCTTCTCGACCAAGACTTGGATAGGTAACCAACCGTCCTCGCCGTAGTGTTGTTGATGCCAACGGAAGATGCTGCGAGATCGGCTGATTCTGCGGTGACAGAGCTATCTTTGCCGACTTAAGATATCACCGGTTGCTTTCACAGTGCTGTTGATGCCAACGGAAGATGTGTCAGCGAAAAGAGAAAATAAAAATCTCAAAGTTGTTGAGAGAGTTTGCGCAGGGCAGTTGTGTGTTGAATTGCAGGGGTCCCTTTTACGTTGCACAGCGCCTTGTATTTATAGGACTGAAGTATTTGGCTTGCATGGTCAGATAATGTTGCAGAGTCTGACTGCAACTCTACCTCGCAGAATGAAATCTGATCCGTGGCATAAGCTGGCTGACCTTTCAAATAAAATATAAAAACTATCTAGGCTTATCCCATCATGACCAAAGACCTAGCTTACCTAGGCTTCTCTCTCCACCATCAAATCCTTGCTTTATCTCATTAAGACTCCCAATGCAACTAAAGCCTTCTTTTTCCATGACGGATATCCAGGTGCAACCATACATGCAAATTAAATTATAATTTAATTGCATATCATCTAATCACTTGAGATACCATCTTCCATCAAATACCACTTTGTATCAAGAGTCCTATTGATGCATGACTCACATGGCCACAACAATATCACAAAAGAAACATATTCTCCAGTATCCTATTTTGCATGCCTACCCAATGTGCTTCGAGATAACTGTATAAATAATTTTAAATTATCATCTAAGAGATAAATATATGATTAAAAAAATCATAATGTTATCCTTTAAATAATAATTAAAAATTATCTTAGTAAATCCAACAGTTTAGAATTCGCCTATTCAACGATCTCGGCCGATTGTGTAATTTTGGGTCCAAACAATTATACAAAGTATTTCTATTTAATTATACTATATTTTTTATGAGTTTGTAATTGTGAAGTTGGTGTTTATTTGGCATGTGTAGACTCTTCATCTGCTTTAAGGATTTCTCAAGTAATATTTTCTCAATAAAGTTTGCTTTGAGACGCACGTTTGACATTTATTTGAAATCTTAAAGAAAGTAAAAAATTATATTGTTTTCCTAATCATTTCATTTAAAGAGACTACATTTTTACACACTACGTCTTATGTATGGATGTGTTTGTAGCGGTTAGATTGATGGTTTCATTTTAGTACCATCTTCTGTTTTCCGGCCTGCTTACGAGTCGTGTTTGTAAACTCCATAGTCCATACACCGTTAGGGCGTTAGCCATCAAAGGCGTTTTGACGGTTTGAATAGTTTGATTCTCCCTCCAGTTTCTCAAAGAAAGTCAACACATAACAAAAAATAGTCCAGTCAACTAATTAATAGGCTGTCAAGCCTTAGGTTAAGAACGGCAAAGCCATCAGATAACTTGAATAGTTTGAAGTCATGGGGAGAGGGATATTTCAATCAATTGACTCCAAGTGCCCTAAAAAGAAAGAAAGATTTTCATAATACACTAGTATAAGTAATTGTGATGTTTCATCTACAATATTGTATTTGGTAAAGAACATCATAATATCAATACAAAATTTATAATATGAGTACATCGTAATTATGATATTTCTTGCCATAATCAATATACAATATTAGTACATCTCTCGTATAAGTTTTTTGGTGTAACTCGAACACGAGACAATATATCACAAATTATAATATAAATAAAGAAATATTAGGAAATATATCTAAAAAATAAAACATATACCTTATTGTCGGTTACTTGGACTATAACATGGTATACTACCTTATGTTCCAGATAAATTTCCCCTCAAAGTAGAGACGCCATTTGAGGCTGGACGCAGACTTTCGTGAATGATTATGTGTTTTCATGTACACAAAAGCACGAACCTGCGTAATTTATATTTATTCAAATATCCAAGTTAAATAGAGAAAAGGTCAATAAATTTCTTTACAAGAAAGTCAGTCGGACCTCCAACAGATGGCATTTCCGTAAAAACAAAGAAGTCCATGGCCGGTTTATAAACTCACAGTTTATATAAGCGCACTCGGACGTGTCAATCCCAGTTGGTTGTAAATTGACAGTATCTCTGTCCCCTCTCCTCTCTCTCTCTCTCTCTCTCTCTCTCTCTCTCTCTCTCTCTAAAAACGTGTGCTTCTTCTTCATGATGCTCGTCGGATCAACGCTCCCAGCTCACAACCTGAACCTGTTTCAGGCCAGAAGAGCCAGCTTCAGAAACTACACGTCTGCATTAAACACCTCAACGAGAGCTCCATCCTCTTGTTCTTATTCAGCTGTCTCCATTAAACCAGGTCTAACTCCACCGAGTTGACTCGGCTCCACCTCGCCAACCTCGACAAGCTCCTCCAAACCCCACCTCCGCCCCAAACCCAACTCGACCCACAACCCGATATCCAAATAGACAAAGACCCGAATAATAGTGGGTCGCTCGAAAACAAGGGAAGGAGGCTTATGGAAGGGCTCAGTCTTTCTCGGTTGTGGACGCAAGTGAAAGGCGCCGCCGAAGACATGTCTCCGAGACACCTCAATCGCCTGCAGCGCCTCCTGTCCAAGACTGGAGAGTACTCTCCCAGAAATAATCTCAGCACCCGGTGGCGCGAGTATCACGGTTCAAACAACTGGGCCGGACTACTTGACCCGCTGGATGAGAATCTCAGGCGAGAGGTCGTCAGATACGGTGAGTTTATCCAGGCGGCTTATCATTCCTTTCATTCGAATCCGGCGATGTCGGCAGAGGAGGCTCAGTTGCCTCGCCAAGTGGCGCTTCCCGATAGGTCTTATAAGGTAACCAAGAGCCTTTACGCCACGTCATCAATCGGGTTGCCCGATTGGGTTGATGAAGCGAGGCCGGATCTCAGTTGGATGACCCAGCGGTCGAGCTGGGTTGGGTACGTGGCCGTTTGTGATGATAAGAGGGAGATCGCACGGATGGGCAGACGCGATATTGTCATTGCCCTCCGTGGAACGTCGACGTGTCTTGAATGGGCTGAGAATTTAAGGGCTCAGCTCATTCAGATGCCCTCGACCGAGGAAGGTCACCAGCAAAGCGGAGCAAGAGTGGAATGCGGATTTTTGAGCCTCTACAAAACACGCGGGGCCCACGTACCGAGCCTCGCCGAGTCAGTGGTTGAAGAGGTCAATAGGCTGATGGAGCAATACAAAGGAGAGACATTAAGCATAACTGTGACAGGACACAGTCTTGGTGCTGCCTTAGCCTTGTTAGTAGGCGATGAGCTTAAAACATGTGCCGAGAACATGCCGTCGGTGGCGGTTTTCTCCTTTGGAGGCCCCCGCGTAGGTAACCGAGGATTCACAAAGCGAATGGACGACAAGAATGTGAAGGTATTGAGGATTGTCAACTCCCAAGATGTGATCACCAGGGTTCCAGGTATTTTCGTAGGCGAAGGAGTACTCGAGGAGAAGCTGAAGAACGCAAAGGCCGGAGGATTCATTGACATGATCGACAGGAACATGCCGTTGGCTTACTCACATGTTGGGACAGAACTACGGGTTGACACAAAAATGTCGCCTTACTTGAAGCCCAATGCAGATGTGGCTTGCTGCCATGATTTGGAGGCATATTTGCATTTGGTGGATGGGTTTTTGGCATCTAACTGTCCTTTTAGAGAAAATGCTAAGAGGAGTTTAGTGAGGTTGCTTCAAGATCAAGGATCTAATGTGAAAAAATTGTACATAAGCAAGGCAAATAATTTGACTAGTTTAAATCTTGAAAGAGAGTTTTCTCAAAAAAATCTTGAAAGAGAGGGACTGATGGCTACTTGTTTGCCTAGCCCATCTTAAATTTACACATAAATAAAACTTTGCACATATCTATGTACTTCTGGCCTAAATTCTCAAAATTATGCCTATGGTATCTTGTGCTTTTGTGGTGAATTCATTTTCCTTTGTTTTACCAAATTGTTTTCTAAAAATTTTAAAAGAAACTTTTTAAACGATATTAATGGGATTGTTCACATTATAATCTTGGACAAATGACTCAATTATATATACATTTTAGTTTAGATTTCTTTACTTGAACTTGTTGCAAAAGCAAAGGTACATCAAGGGAAAACAATATTACAGCAAGGGCACAAAGCTCCAAAGGATAACAAGACAAACTAATAACTAACAAACAGAAATAAAGCTTCCAGTGGGATTAGGAAGTAAATTAACCTATCTCTTACCAAGGGGATGGCAGCTTGATCTGCGCCAATCAAGTCCACCTTTAATTGCCCAGAAGATTAAAATATAAACCAGCACTAAATGGGCTGTCGGAACTCGGTAGAGATGATTGATTTGGATATGACTATTCACTATAGTAAATGAATGTCGTCGATGCAAATTTCCTCCGTCTTCAATCTTGATGAAAATGCACATGCAAAACAATTAACACCTTTGATCAAGGACCTAAGCCTCACGCGCCCACGAGGTGGGGGTTAGGCCAATGGATCTCCGATGCCTAAGTCAGTTTCTCTGAGATAATAAAATGTTTAGGGCTTTTAGGGGTAGCAAAAGCTTCTGAAATTTGGTAGAATGTGGGGTATTTATAGGGATAGGGTCGGCCATAGTGTTAGGGTTTAACCCTACACGTGGCGGCATCCTATTGGCCAAGTGTTTTATGAAAAAATATTCTCTAAATATTCTCAAGATATTGAATATGAAATAATATCCTGAGATAATGAAGTAATTATCCCTAATTTATTTAAATTGGGATTACTTACTTGATTGGAGTCAATATTCAATTGGGAATGTATTAAAAATAGGATTTGGGTAATTAATTCTTATATTTAATGCTTTGACTTTTCCTTGCCAAGGGCAGGTGAGCTATAGGCAGTCATATTCAGTTGCTGGAACCTTTAGGGGTGTGAGCTGTGCATGAGAGTATCTGAGAAGCCTGCTTATTTATTGAGGGCAATCTTGTCTTTCTAGAGCCAAATTCAACGTGCTGCCTCTAGCATTTTTGGGATTATTTTAGGCTTCACAAATGCCAACTTCCTTATTTTTTCCAAATTGAAGGTTACTCATGAAGAAAAATTGTCTCATATAATCTTATCATTTTTGTGAGGTTTTGTTAACCCTAAAAACTACCAAGCCTACGTGGCATGCATGTCAAGTAACTAATAAGCCAACTACATCCTTCAGTTGTGTAATGAGCGTGCCAACTCATCAGCCAAGCTCAACCAGGGAGTAAAATATGTTGACATCATGTTGGGAGCATTGCTAACTTCTTGATCCTACGACTGCGGCCGAGGAAGGAACACACCTCAGCCTTTGGGTTCTAGAGTCTGAAGACAAGGCTGCTAGTTTCTTCGAAGATCACTAATCGTCAGCGTCAGGTTCAATCTCGGCAATTATATTCGTGAAAGTATAAGTACGCCGAACTAGTACCAAACTGTACGGACACAAATACTTGAAAAAGATAAATATCTTGATTGTAAATGTGGTTCGGCCGTCGGAATGCCGAACTGTAAAATGTACTTGCAAATATCTCGATCATAAAATAACACTTGGTGTTCAATGTGCCGAGCCTAATAACCTGTAACACCTCAATTCGCCGAGAATGCTGATGAGATGACCTCTACCAATAAGGACTCAAGAATCCTTGTCGACCGAGACTTGGATAATAACCAGTCGATCTCGAACCAGTGTTGTTTATCCAAACTGAAGGTGCTCCTCGGTTGACTGATTCTACGGCTTCAGTGCTGTTTATCTAAACTGAAGATGTCGCCGGTTGCCTTCACAGTGATGTTTATCTAAACTGAAGATGTGTTGGCGAAAAGAAAGGGGAAGAGGAAAAAAATCTCAGGATTATTGAGAAACTTTGCGCAAGGCAATTTGTATGTTGATTTGAAGGAGTCTCTCTGTTACAGCGCACCTTATATTTATAGCATTCATATTTTCTGCTTGGCACGGCCTAATAATTTTGTAAAGTTCAACTGCAACTCAAACTTGCGGAACAAAAATTAATCCGTGCCAAAGGCCTATCCTTCAAATTGGCTTTTCAAACAAAACAAAAACCTATCTAGGCTTATCACATCATCATCAGAACTCCCATCAGTGCCTTGCTTTATCCCATTAAGACTCCCAATGCAACTATAAAGCTTTCTTTTTCCATGACATTTATTCAAGTGCAACCACGCATGCAATGTGAATTGCAATATGTCACTGTAATCCAACTCTTGCATGGCATTAGTCAAACACCTATTCAATCTCATCTATATATCCTTGTTATCTTATCTGACTAACATTTAATTTGCATGAAAATTGTTGTTTAGCCAGATAGAATTTGTCCCAAAAAAAAAAAAAACAAATAGAAAAGTAAACGAATATTCCTTTTGGACGGCACTCTTCATCATCCTTACTACTTCAAAACCATCTGATTAAATACCTTGCCGCAAGAATCTCGAAGTTGGAGATATCGTTTGCATCCCATTTATCTTGTTGTATAAGAAAATATCAGACGAATCATATTAAAGATAATTATTATGATAAAAACCATATCAACGGTCTTGATTGCACAGGCCGATGAAGTAAATTTGAGTCCAAACAGGTTTATTTATTTATTTTCATAAGCAGCCTTCAACTTCGAAAAAAATAAAGAAGTTGTCATTTAGTTTTCTTTTAAAATGTCTTCAAATATATAATAAATAGTCTTATCCATGCTAATCATGTCTAACAAACAAGACCTCAAAGTAGAGATAATTTTGCCCCACTCAAACGGAAAAAATTTCCTAAAACTGAATTGTAGGATAGTTGTTCTACCATAATACTCATCAAGTAACTAATGAGTGTTGTAGTAACAATTGTATGATCCCTCATGAAGCAAAACCTGTATGGAAAAGAATTATATATATAGATCTCAGGATTGGGAGACACCCAATTTGTACACAAATTATGACACATGTTATTAGTTGTTAGACTAAACCATTTGAACTGTAAAGATTGCATTAGTTATCAAGTATTTGTTGAAAAAAATGCTAAATTTCCCTTGAAGGTATCAACAACAATATCTTAAACTACCATGTACTCATCAACTAGTACTACAATCTAAAGATATTATTCTTCATTTGTAAGTGAGAAGTCTCAAATTCACTCACATGAATCACAAGGACGTATAATATTTGTTGAATTTGATATCTTGTTATGTTATAGTTGAACTATTATGTGGCTTTACTCACTGTAGCGCTGTAGCTGTTGGAAGTAAGTACAATCAAAATTTTTATATCAAAGAGGACTAAGTCGAGACATAACAACTCGAGTATCATCCCCAATGACCAGTGGACACCCCACTCTTCGTTCACGGTCGACTACAACCTGAAAGAATGAGAGTGAAACTTCACTCATGATTGCAGGTTAAGGGTTGATTCTCCTCTTCAAATAATAATAAAAGCCATTGACGCTATTTTAATTAAATTAAAACGCATTGCTTCATTTTATCCCTAGGTCTTGTTATACTTACATTACCCTTTCTGTGATTGGGTTCTATTGACTATTGGTCCTGACGATATTAATCACGCTGTTACTTATCGTTATAGAGTTTGTTATTTCGATTGACTTGACACCCAAGTAAGCCTTCTCTTCACATTAGAAATTGAAAGAAGCTTAAAAATGTTTACATTCAAGAGGCTTTTGTCAATCACTGGGAAATTTGAATAAGAATCTCAATACTTTGTCAGAAACCCCTATTAGTTTTGAGCTTTGAATCAGTTGAGTATGCCCCTTTACGTAAGTGTTGGAAATTTTGAGTAGAAATTTCATTGTCCCACATTGGTCACTACCAAAAAGTTTCCTCACTTTATAATTAATATATAATTGATAATTAATTATAAAGAAGCAATGTCTTCTTCCGGGGCTCCTTTATGAAAGGAAGCAAATAAAAGTGAAATGGAATCCATTATGGAAAATAACATATGAGAATTGGTTGATTTACCTCCCGGTAGTAAACCAATTGGTCATAAATGGATTTTCAAGAAGAAACTTAAGGCGGATGGAACCATTGATAATTTCAAGGCACGTTTAGTAGCCAAAGGTTATCACCAAAAGGAAGGGTTGGATTATTTCGACACCCATTCTCCAGTTTCTCGCATAACGTCAATTAGGACGTTAATAGTGATTGCGGCTGTATACAACTTTGATATACATCAAATGGATGTAAAAACAACATTTTTAAATGGAGAACTGGATGAAGAAATATACATTGAACAACCTAAAGCGTTCAAGCTTAAGGGACAAGAAAACAAAGTGTGCAAATTAGTTAAGTCATTATATGGACTTAAACAAGCACCAAAATAATGGCACGAGAAATTTGATCATATTTTGTTGACACATGGGTTCAAAATAAACGAATCTGATAAATGTGTCTACATTAAAAGTAATGATAAAACTTTATAAGGTTTCCTAACATTGGTCACTACCAAAAGGTTTCCTCACTTTATAAGGCTTTGTCCCTTATAGAAAGTGATTGGAGTGATGAACCTTGGAGAATAAAATTGGGCTCATCCTTGCTGTTAGGCTTTGGGGTGTGCTAATTAATTATAATTAATTATCAAAAGATAGACCTTCGGCCTTGGGCCTTGGGGCTCTTAGGCTCGGGCTCTAATAATTAAATTCTTTAATTAATTATTTTCAGATTTAATTAATTTCGAATTTAATTAATTTTTTATTTTTTATTATTTTTTATCAACAGACTCATCTTTTCGGATGAAGTCTCTGAAGAGTGATGAAAGAACACAGAGAGCAAAGCACCCATTTGGAGAATATATCTCCCAACAGACACATCCATTTTTCATACCTGTTGCAAACAAGTATACACCTACTATATATACATCCATCTGCATGACATTTAGCATACAGAAAATCAACATTCTTCTTCTACAATCATAA